AGTAAAATCATGGTTGCAATAGGTGCTAGACTGCTAGTCAGACAGTAAAGAAGTGCCTAGCGCTTAGACTGACTATAAAATAAAATAAAAACAGTACACGTGTGTGAGTGTCTGTCATATATATATATATATATATATATATATATATATATATATATATATATATAAAATACTTAATTCAGTTAATTGTATTCTATACTATTAGTATTAGTGTCTATGGTTGAAAAAATCGCTAGACACTCTTGGTTCTTAGCGCTTAGGTGGCGATTAATCAACGCCTAGGGGCCTGTGTATTTTTTTTTTATTAAAAAAAAAAAATCTTAAAAAGGAATAGTAAAACCCCCACCAAAAAAGAGAGAAGGGAAAAGTGGGATATCATCTTGGAGGTGAGTGAAAAAAAATGATTGTAGTTATATGTTGAAAAAGCAGTGGTGGGGTGCAAAAGGGCCTGGATTAGAACTTGTGTTTTTGTCTGATCTATAATTCATCACTTCCACTACCTTCTACGATTGGGACCTCACCAACAAATATTTTATCTACACATTTTTAGACGATCCCCCCACCCCACCTCCCCAACCCCACACCAAAAAAAAAAAAAAAAAAAAAAAAAAAAAAAAAAAAAAACACAAGATTAGCCTAATCTTGCTTCAAGCACCAAGGTAGCACTTAAGTAGAGGTTCGAATCCCACTAAAAATTTGATGAGTCATTGAGAAGTTTTATGTTTTAATCAATTAGCGGTGGTGGAAATCATAGAAGTGTACAAGCAGCTGGAAAATTTGGAATCATTTAAGCAATTTGAAATTTACCTCCTTCATGAATCATGAGGTGATTTTATTGGGTCCAAGATATAATATGGAGAAGCGGAAAACTTAGGTTATTAAAGAACAAATTTAATAAGTAGATAAATAAACAAATGCAATATTCTTCGAAAAAAATGCTATAAGTACATACATTTATCCTAAGAACAATCACAATAATTTTGGGAGAGATTTTTTAGATTGTAATGCATATGTGGAGGAGTGAGGGAGGGGAGAGAAAAGGAAATGGCTCCTTGTGTAAGAACATGGGTTTTGTCTCCAAAGCGGGACCCACCCAACTATGGAGCCCTCAACCATGGAGCATTTTCATATCGGGTAACACTTGTATGAGACCGTCTCACAGGTCTGAATCCGTCAATCGTTATGCTGTGCATCCGTATGCACCATGCATGGTGCATACGGATGCCAAAACGACGTCGTTTTGTTAAAAAACGCGCGTCTCCCTTTTAAAAAAAATTTAGGTTCGATTCCCAGCAACAACATTATATTGTTCATTCATTCTGGAATTTTAGTTCATAGATTATGGAATTATAGTTCATTGATTATGGAATTATAGTTCATCGATTATGGAATTGTAGTTCATCGATTCTGAAATTTTAGTTTATAGATTATGGAATTTTAGTTCATTCATTCAGGAATTTTTAGTTCATAGATTAGATTATGGAATTATAGTTCATCGATTATGGAATTTTAGTTCATATGTTGTTGCTGGGAATCGAACTTGATTTTTTTTTTAAGGGGAGACATGCGTTTTATTAAAACGACGTCGTTTTGGCATCCGTATGCACCATGCATGGTGCATACGGATGCACAGCATAATTTGCCTGAATCCGTGAGATGAGTCGAACCTTTAATTATTGGGTCAGATCTTTAACCCGTTAATCAGAGATCCGACCCGTCTTACAGATGATCTCACACAAATGCATGTTACCCTATCTAGTTTGATTAATAACTACCACATTTTTGTTATTAACTTTGACAATAATTATATATTAAATTTACAGTATAATAAAACATTATTGTACTGGCATGGGAGAAGTAGATCAGAGACATTAAACATTATATTATAGTATAATAATCATAACACTTTACAATAATAAGCTTGAGCATTACGAAATGGATCGACTATTATCATTATAATAAGATTGAAGAAGAAAGAGGAGGTCAAAGAAGTTTCTAATGCACTTTTATTTGCTTGTCTAATTGGCTTTCTACATTTTCCCTTTGACAAGAAGCAATAACTAACCCACGATGCACTGCACCATCATTCCTTCTCCATCAAATTCATTTCTTTCATGTCTGAATACCAATCACTCTTTTAAAAATTAATAATTGTATATAATAATGGCTTATTTTCCGTTCAAATTGAGTATATATATGATATTGAATCTGAGATCTATCTAATGTTATAATAGTTATTTAACTATTTTTCTTTGCAGAGACATATTTCTTTGCAAGTAGTGCGTACTCGTACTCGAATTCATTTATTTATATCGTGATCATCATAATATGTATAGGTATCACATCAGGTGCGAATTGCCACTTAGATGTGAACATGTGAACGTGAAAGACTACAAAATGCGTCCACGATATGTAAAAGTGCACTAAGGACATGTGTGAACTCTAAAAGTACGTATATATCCCACAAAACTATAGATTAAGTGCATTACATGTATGTTCTTGAGTTGTTTGTTTACATATCATTGAGTACACTTTGTAATTTTGTCACGTTCGCACTTGGGCGGGCAATTTTATTTGATGAGACTCTTATATACATGTATGTGTGGTGGAGATGGAGGGCGGAGGGAGATAACTTCTATAATAATGCAAATAGTATCACTATATATATTGTACAAAATACTATCAAGGTAACATATGTGTTGATTGACACCATAGAAGTTTTGGATGACTTTTTTGTCGTAAAATGTACAATTATTGTAGTTGCATGCTATGACATTGTCACAGCATAAATAATCTAGATTGTTTAATCACTCGATCAAGACAGCCCATGTTATTTCTCTCTCTCTTTTCCGTCAACAAGTTAAAATTCTTTAATTAAGATACAGTAACACATTATTCAATTATTGCACCTATATATATGTATATTCATGGTATGGGACACATAGGATACCTTGTGAGAAAGAGCCTTGAATACACCTACCCACCAGATCTCTGTGCAGTGTGTTGTATATATATATATAATATGATAATGGTCTATATATGTATGTATGTATGTATGTATATATGTATGTATAGATTGAAAGAGAAGTAGACAAGAGATTACTTAGTAGGAGTCCTTTGATTGAGAGCTTTCCTACCAAATGCCCAACACCTTCATCTAATATAATGAATTGAATCTTTTCACGTGAAATGTCCCTTTCATATACACTACCGTCTCCGTTATCTATTCTTACTTGCTCCTTCCTTCCTTCTTGTTTTCGTTACAAGCAACGTAACAAACCCAAAAATTTCGTACCTTTAATTAACACATTATGTACCTACAATTAATAATTTATGTACATGTAAACAAATAACTTGATAATTGGTGACACATAATATGATAGCTACAAGTACAAAAACTATCAATGCAGGTACAAGGAATGTGTCAACTATAGATACAGAATTTGACTTGATAATTGCTTACACGTAATATGATAGCTACATGTACAGAAACTATTAACTGCATGTACAGAATTTGTCTGGCCAAATATGAATTACTTTTACAATAGTAGACATTGAATATTGTACCCAAAAAGATTTAAAAAAAAAAAAAAAAAAAGGAATACAATTAATACCTACTATCAAGGTTAGTTGATCTGATGAACCACTCCAACTTTATTCCTTGTGTCAACTGTCAAAGTTTGCTCAAGAAGCCTAAAACCCTTTTTCCCCTCTTTGGGTTAATTTAAATATTCTTCATGCTTTTCTGATCTTTGCCTATCTATCTACACAATAATCTGGATAACAAACCACATTGCAATCTTAGAAAAAGGGATATATGGCCAGAGGAATCCATGCCATCATATCACAACCTTAATTGATGAAATCTTGTAAGACTAAAGGTGTAGTGTCTGTTTTCCTATGGCATTGTCACAAAAGTTTGGAACAAAAAAGGAGGGGAATAAAAGAACAGTTTTTAATTCCCTCTTTCTTTGACTAGGAGCAATTTTACAAGTGTTTCAGTGCCCTTTCCAGATTGTGTTGCAGCATTTAACATGTGAAAGAGTTTAGATTATCCTTCAATTCACTCTATTTTTGTAAAAGTAATGGTAATAACTAACTTTAAATATCATGTAGTTGATTAATAGTGATGGACAATGTCACAATGGTAATATAATTTTTTTTTTTTTTTACATACAATGAACAAGACAAATAAGAGTAAATGTATTTTATAAATTTAAGCCAACAAGACCCGTGAACACATCGGAAAAACACTAATTTCAACTACAGAGTAGTCGAAAACATAAGTTTTCGGTTAAAAAAATTGTTTTCAACCATCTTTAGGGTGTTGATTATTGCCCATTAATATTACCGACCTCCCATCAAAGCAGTTGGTAATATTGATCACTTTTTCTAGTTAAAATTTTAGTCAGTTATGTTACCGACGTATTAACCTAATTTTCAACCACCTATTATAAAAAAAGTTAACGATAATTGTCAGAAAACTTTTTAGCACAGTTTCTGCAAGAATATATATATATATATATATATATATATATATACACACACACACACACACACACAAAAACAAAGATATAAATATCCTATGTTGGATTGTCAAAACATGTAAATCCTAATATGAATGACCATAGTGAGTAAATATCCCATTAGCGGTTAAACACAGAATCGAGAGCCACAGTTTAGGAGTTTCACCCAATGTGGTGAACTTCTTGTGAGCATTATGCACTAATCTTCCTAAGTCCTACCTAACAAACTAATGGCTCAATAATTTATCCTTCGACTATCCTTTCGAACCAAGGTATAGAGCCTTGGATTGAGAAAATACGATGCCACATCTTTACCATTTTAAATGGGTGGTCATAGGATTGAACCTGGTGGTGAGGACATTGATTCTTCGAGCTGAAAAAGATTGAGAAAGTATAAAACAGATACTACATTGTAAAGAATCATGACTGTTTCAAAAGAATCCCCACAAAAAAAAAAAAAAAAATGAATAAATAAATGGAAGAGAATGCAAGACATTATATTAATGAGATACGGCTGTCTTGAAATGGTGAGATGACAATTAATAATAGTGAGGGAAAGGGATAAGCACAAGAAATGGTAGTGTTCCTTCTTGGGATCCATGTGCTGTTTGTTTGAAGGACAATCCACATTTTTGGAGCATAGAATCCTATGTTCTTCTTTCATCTCTAGTGGAATAAAGTAGGATTTGTTCATTTGTGGTAAGAGCATGGCACAACCCATCTTCTCTCAATCTTCATCACAATTAAATAGTAAATACATCTTTCACATGCACTGCACTCTGCAAACCCAGAATCAAACAAATAAACAAACCTCCCTACCTTCACATTCTTCATCATTTCACAGGGAACTAAGTCAACTACTGCATATTTTTTAACACAAAAGCGACACCCTTTGTCCTGCCAGGCTGCCAGTGGGTAAAGAGTAAGTCAGCTGTGAAAAACGACGGTTAAACTGTCTGTTTTCGAGAGAAATAGAAAATAGTTTGGGTCATTCTTCGGTCCAGAATTTCACGAAAGCAGTCACGAAGGCCTTGAATAAGGCCAGTAGAGGATTGGTTTCGGGTTTGTTGGGTTTCCGTGTTTCACTGTGAATTCACGAAGAAAGACTTGATTAGTCGTGGAGAAAAGAATAAAACGTCATAACAAAGTTCAATTAGACGTAGGATTTAGCAAGCAATCCTCAAAGGTACTTACGGATTTGGTCTACTGACTGGAGGATTGTGTCCTTTCTGGTGGATACTATTTCGTTGAACACTAGGTGGATTGTTGATTGCAAGGGACTCCTCCTCGGCAACCAATGTTGTCTGGGAACTGTTGGTACTATCATTTGACGTCTGCAAATAAGATAACATTAGAAGCTTCATAGTAATTCAAGTCACGCCATTATCACTCGTCTAGGAAAGTAATGTGAAGTTTCAAATTTGTACCACACGAGACAACCTAAAAAACATTATTACCTCTAAAATGAAAACTTTGTGGTGCCTAATTCTTTGAATGTACAACAAAATGAATGATGAGAATATAACTATTTGAAGAAATGGCATTCGTTGTTCACTTGTTTTTTGGTCAGACCACGAGGTGTACTGAGCAGGCCTTAACTATAGGAGGCACCTTTAAGCCCATACCATACTCAGACTGACTAATCCCCGTTTGCATGGTTTTTCCATAGGGGTTCGAACTCCCGACCACTCTTAAGGGACAAGAGTGCACGGCCACTCACGCCAACCAAGCTGGTTAGCTTTTCACTTGTTTTTTTTTACCAGCAACCTAAAGTTGCTCGCTTGCTTAGTTTACACAAAAGCATACCTTAATTATAGCAGATGAATCATCAGCTTTGGATTCAGTATCACTTGCTATTTCGTTTGAAGAGGAAGTTGAAATTTGCAAAGACGACTCTCCAGATTCCAGCAGGGTTTCCCTTTTCGCCACATCAGTATTTCCTTCGGACACTGGACCTACTAGCGTAACATCAACCTGCACACTCATCAAACCAGTGGCATCTTGTTGATGAAGAGATGAATTATTGACTGTACCAGATTTACTCGAATTCTCATCTTTATCAAATGTTTCTCCATTGTGAAACTTCTGATCATATGACACAGGGAATTCCCGATTAGAGTGCAAAAGCTGTTCTTGGATGTTTCCATTATAATCATGTATAAAATCAGCTGGTTCTTCGCATCCTTCGTTCCCTTTGCTTCTTCCACTTCTAGCACTGACAGTTTTCCCATTATCTAAACTGTTATCCGCTCCATGAAAATGACTGCTGGAATCTAAAACATCGTTTCCAATTGTGCCCGTTATAACATGAATCTCACCTGTTGATGACAAAGAAGGATGAGATTCAGTACAGAGGGATCCTAATGGATGTTGTTCCAGAAAGATTTGGTCAGTCTGCTCTTCCGAATTTAACTTAGAGGGGCCCAAAACTCTGTTTTCTTGAATTATTTCTCGAACAATTTCTCGTACTGTGTAGAATGAGCCACCGACTTCCTTGTGTGTAAGACGAAGTGAAGGAAAATTCCCATCATTCGACTTCTGATATCTGCCAGCAGTAACCCAGAAAAATTAATATTTCAAAATAAAATGTTTTAAAAATTAATATTCATATTACAGCTTGATACAAGTATTTAGAAGACAAATTCAACAGAATCAAAGATTAATATTCTTTTCCTAAATTCTTATAACAAAAATTTGTCTTTAAAGATTTTATTTATGATTAATGCAAGTCCATGAAGCAGAAACGAAGAAAAAGAAAGGTGAGAAACCTACAATGAAGCAAACTTGCAAAGTCAAAAAGAAAAAAGAAAAAGAAAAAGCAAGCACGAGTTTACGTCTTTATAAAAGTCTCAACCATAGATTTTCTCTCCTCCTTTGAGCGCCTAATCCTCGTCTTCTTTCCCCTAGAGTCCTTGCAAGTAGCAAGTGCGATTGTTGGCATAGACCATGCACCCTTAATTATGTGCATTTTGTGCTAAATGTTTACGACGAAGGATGAATCCTACAAGCATAAAAGCAAGGATAAAATCATTCATCATTAGCTTCTCACAACACATTACTAATACGAGTATCTCAATAATTAGGATTCGAGGGCCCTGTGCTCAAAGATAATTTAAATAAACGCTAAGCAAAAAAAAAAATACCAAAACTGAAATGTCAAAACAAACTCTGCAGCCAAGCAACTAAACCTCATACTTATGGCAATCTAGTAACAGAACTGAACCCCAAGGCCCAAACACAATTCACTAACTTAAACCGTAAATCTAGTTTCTGTATCATAGTACACCAAAAGGGGGAAAAGTTTCAGCAATGACTAATTACATAGCATAGTCTTGCTAAAGGCCATGTATATTGGCCAGTGAAAATAGTTTAAGATTAACTCAAATGGCAATAATATATGCCCATTACACAACATTTGATTACTTCTCTGCAAATTCAAGTCCAAAGAGGTACCCTGTAATAAAATACCAAATGAAGAACCCAATGTGCCTAGATGGAAGGACTAAATATACAGATATCTAGGTTCCAAGCATTTTAACAGTACTCAAAATAAAGCAATCAAGAAAAATGTTTTTAAGAAAAACAAACTTACAACCCTTTCTTTCCCATAAAGGAGAAAACTTTAGAGCTGAGAATACTTTCCCAGTTCTAGAAGTTCACTGAAGATTACAAAAACAATCAAGCAAGCATTTTTTGGGCTGTTTTGCAGGTTCAAGCTGAAATCCCATTTTCACAGAACAGCATAAACAATTTAAATTGGAGGTCAGTGGGTGATTATACGGGAGAAGGGTTTCAACTTTTCGTATAAACCCTAGCTAAACCCATGAATTCTGGAGAAATGGGTGAAGCCACATTTGGTTTAAACGGCAGTTTCATGCATAACAAAGCTAGTTTCCATGGCTAAACAGTGAACAGTGGAGAAGAGAAGTGTACCTGGGTTGATAGTGCTAAAAACCCTACTTCAGGAATTCAGGTAAGCGTCCAAAAATTCTCATTACCAGGGAGGGACCAAGCACTGACCACTCCAGCAGAGTTATGGTATTATCATTGCTTTCTTTAATTTAATTCTCCTTTTTTTTTTTTCGTTTACCTTAGCAGAAATCTTACTGAGAATATTGAGGGGAAAAAAAAATAATCCATTAATTCATATCAAAGTTGGTAGAAGAAATTGTAATTTTATTCTTACCAAACTCTATGAAATTGTAATTTCACGGTTTTGTTGAAGAGAATTACGATTTCCTCACTTTGCGAAATTGTAATTTTATGATAAATTATCATTTTATTTGATTATTATTCTCCCAAAAGGTTAAACCACAAGTCCACAACCCTAAGAACCTTCACACACACCCCGACCTGATAGAGATTATTATTATTATTATACATTGACATTTTAGTAGTCTTTATTTACTCTTTTCTTAAAATTTTCAAGCATTTTATTCCTTTTCTATCAAACAATATAATTTAAATTCTCACTTTATTCCTTTTTCATGGGATTATAATTCATTTTCTTCCCGAATTCTTTCATCACAACCAAACGTTATGTTAAAGAGAGAGTTTAAAACATTAAAAAAAAATGTCGTGTAACATTATTCTTTTTAAAATTGTTATCAAATTATAAATATTTCATCTCATTTTAATATTTACTGCAATGATATTTTGAATTCAAAACGTAATAATTTTTACAGCCGAAAATATAATATGACAAAACATAAAAGTTGTAAATTACGACCTCTGTATTTTTTTAATTAGACCACAAAATGTTCAACATCTGTAATAATTTAAAACAGTTAATAAGTAAACTAGGCGTGCTTTAAATAAAGATCAAACTTTTGGATATCGTATGCAATAATGCAAACGAAAATTACCATTACATTCAAAAAACACAAGTACAAATCAGGCAAATTATTCCGTAGACCGGGTCTACATTGTAAGGTGAATCTGAATTTAAAGATACACAATTTACATATTAAATGTTCACAATTTATTTTTTAGAAATTTATAATTTATGATGATCATGTATTGTATTCATAAAATTCCAAAACTTAAAAATATAATTTATATTATATAAGTTTACAATTCTAATATTAAAAATACATAGTTTAGGACCAGGGTCCATCTGCAACTGTAAGGTAAATCCTGGTCCGTGGGAAAACAACTGTACAAACCAGTATTGGGCCCAATAATAAATACAATTTGTTTTGGTTCTTTTCGTTTAGGTCGAAGATTTTCAGTAAAATATCATTGAAATACCCAATGGGCTTTTACAATAATGTGGACCTCCCTAAGGTCCTATATTCGCAATTCTGTCCATAATAATAATAATAACTACAATAATAATATTTTTTTAAAAAAATATTATGTAAAAGAAAATTCTATACAACAATTCAACCAAACATATGAGATATAAATTACACTAAAAATACCACATATAACTTGCTCGATTCAAAGGGGGTCAATAATAATCAAACACATAACTTTCCGGTAAGAGAGTCATACTCCACGCACTCACCTAAGCTATTTATTTCCGGGGCGATCAAATGCTTATTGACTAATCAACTAGGAAGATCAAATAACATTATCCTTATACACGATATTCGTAGATAGGTTGACAGTGCTACAAACTTACAATACTTGTTCTCCATTTTCTTACAATTAATTAAAAATAATAAACTAAATACGTCTATATGGACAACTCAGTTGGTACTCAAGTGATAAATTATAGGCAACAATGCATGATCGAGACATGACAATTGCACTGTTAAAGTAACATTCTTATGAGCATTATGCACTAGTCCTCCTACCTAAAAAAGCGTTAAGTCACCGTATTTTATCAATTTACCATCTTGGAGACCCTTAGGTGAGAAATTTCGTTTTTTTTTTTTTGAAAAAAAAATAAATTAAATAATTTAGCATGATTAAAAAAAATAATTACTTAATCACATGACAACCGTCAGCTAAAGCTAAGAAACCATATAGTGCATGCATGGCATGAACATAACCAATCATGAATGAACACAATTATACAATCCAAATCACACATTTAATTAAGTAATTAATTATGTAGAACCCACTCAACAACCTTAATTAACCTACTATATGACGATCCAAAGCATTATATATATTGCCATGTGGCAACTTAACTGATCTATCGCACTGAAAATCTAACGTACGATATCCGATCCAATATGATATCCTTCCATGGATATATTATTCAAAACAATATAATGTTACATTACGACAACTCAATAGGGTAATTCAAGTGGCAAATGAGTTCTTTTTGTGGGGGAGAATTCCGGGATAACCCGGGTTCGATTCTCACAAGTGACGATTCCCTTTGGGCCAGCTTCTGTGCCTCTCGGAGCGAACCGGGTGGACCTGTCCGTTAAACGGACAGAGAAAGACCCGGACCACAATGTGTGGTTGACACCCAAAAAAAAATAATGTTACATTACGACAATTAAGATTAAGATCTGATTGGCATCGAAAATTAAAGATTAATTAGTTAGTTGAATAAAGATGGTAAGTAGTTGTTAATGAGTTGGAATAATGAAAATATTATATTCGGAGCGTGAAACGTGTACGTTAGTGACGACGATGCTTTTGAGGAGATTCTCGTATCGTTGCCAGCTAGCCGCACTACCACACTAGTCTTTTTTTTGTTTTTACTTTCTAAATAATTGTTTTAATAAACACCGTTAATTATTTAAATATGTTTGAATTATTGTTTTTAAAGTGCACTCATGTGACCAACTAAACTGTCTATGCGGACAAATATATTTGAATCGTGTTTAGATTGATTGTGATATCAGTGAACAAATGGCATTGGCCTTCTTCTTTTAGTTTATTATTTTTTGAATGAGGTGGATAATTTATCGTCATTATATAAAAATGTGTATAGTATACTTCAATCATATATAATAGTTTGCAAATTACATAATAGAAGTAAACCATAATATGAAGATCATGTGTAACGAATTTGACTAAGAAAATGTTATTAAAAATCAAATTTGTGATTTGTTAGGTACTTGGATAGGTACGACACTTTTATTATTGTGTAACTTTAATTAGTTTAAATTTGAGTTATAGTTAATTAGATGGGATAATACACCTTTTTGTATTTATTCTTCCAAAAGACTAAACCCCAACCCTAAGGGCCCCTCACACCCCGACCCGACAGAGCATTTGGGAGGATGTAAATCATGGTAACTCAACTGAACATGAACCACAAAGGCTAGATGAGACTCGATCTCTGGTCACAAGGAACCCCCCTCACTTTGAGAGGTTGCTCCCGCACTGCCGCTAGTGAGACTCGATCCTTGGTCATTCTTCCAAAGTTTCACCTTTTTGTATTTATTGATTATGTGTGAGTTGGTTGACTCCATCATATGTTAAAATGAATTATTTATTAATCAAATACAAATTAAACCAATTATACATTACTACGTAAAGACATAAATAAAGAAAAAAATGTAACATCATGCCCTCTTTTTATATATTAAAGCCTTGTATAACCTATGTTTAGGTTTATTAGGTTGTTGGTTAAAATTAAGATAATGTTATGTGCGCAACGAATATTATACCATTTAATATGTTTTATCTTATTAAGTTGTATTCACTAAACTGTGAAAAACTCATGATCAAATTATTGTGCATATTGGATAAGGACACATTGCCTCTATTTACTGTATAATAATGAGCTTAATCAAGATTTCGACAAAGTGTGTATAAAAATTGAACTTGTAATTTTTAAATATAAAAAATACGTTTCACACATTCAACTATTTTTAATTTTTTTTTCAAAACTATTAATTCATTTGTTTTGGATAATAAGAGATATTCGCAGTCACTACTCGAGAATGTATACTGGATAAACTCAATCTTATGATTATAGTTGGCAAATAAACATAAGGACTAACAAATAACATTAATAATTATGAGAATTTTGAGAGTTGAGACATGCATTGTAGTATTATCCTTAATTAAGAATGTTCACTATCGCTACTCAAAGTTACACATGTGTGAAGTTCGTATTGTAACATTAGTCAACAAAGAATCACAGTAAAGTAAACTAGTATATATTATATATATTTGACTGACTAAAACTCAAAAGATCAATAAATAATTCTTACATAAAATCAAACTTAAACCTTATAATTACTATTACGAACTTGGTTAGCATGGATACATATATAAACTAAAATTTCAGAGCCTTTATGGGTAGGGAGGCATAAAGCAGTGAATGCAATATAATAGATGATTTATTGAATTATTGTCGGTCCAAGAAGGGCTGGCACCAATCTAACTGTGTAGCTTTGGAATTTTCATATCTGTGATGAATTGTACAGAATATTAATCCATTTAATTGGAGAATCATAAAGCGGTCGTCACTCGTCGCATTATCCTATACATATATTGGTTTTCATGTTTCTTCATTCTTATGGCTATTTGGCTATTGTCCTAATGACATATTCCTTGGAATAAATGGTTTAAAAAAAAAAAAAAAAGAAAGTCAAAGCAATATTAATACAGAAATATTTACTTGTGACACGCTTAAATAATGATAAATTAATGGGATATAAAATTAAAATTGGTCTTATCAATAGTTTTACAACTAAATTTTAAAAATTGAATTATACCAGCTTGCAGTTCGAGTTCAAATAACTTCTTTTTTTTTTTCAATTCAATTTTCAAATTTCAAAATTTCATACTTTCAACATTTGAGGTTGTAATTTGAAATTCCAAATGTAGTGTATGTGTGTATATGTTTGTGCGCGCCATAGGAGTGAGATAAGATGAAATGAGATAAATCATGTTTAACTATCACAAAAAAAAAAAAAAAAAAAAAAAGATTACATATATGCTTTAGCTATAAAAAAAATAAAAATTTGCAGTGATATTTTTGTAAGTAAAAATTTTGAATGTATCAAAAATGTTGATTAACTCCAAAATATGCATATTTATGGAAAACGATGCATATTCAATGTGTCTTAATTGAAAAAATATGCGTTTCGACAATATATTTAATTACATATTTACAAAACTATCACCATTTTTTAAATTTAATTTTAAATCTCATTTGTCTATTATTTTATGATGATGATATATGATATAGATTTATTCACAAGTTCCACCTGAATAGTTATTATTACATACACATGCACTCGCTCACTCTATATCGTTTCATGTGTTGAATTTAGTTAACCATGATTAACAAAAATTATTTATATTTTTTTTGGCAATATTTAACTATGTTGTGTATAAATTTAATATATTTGAAAACTAAATCAATAAGTATCATTGAATGCAAAATGCAAAAATTTTAAAATTATTATGAAATGTTTAAAGAAAGTTTGTTTTTTTTTTGTTTTTTTTTTTTGTTTTTTTGTTTTTTTTTTTTTTGTTTTTTTTTTCTTAAGTCAATTTGACTGAATAGCATGCATAATGCATGACAAGTATAACAAGACCAAAAAATATTAATTTCTTAGTTTCACATCGAAATTATATATACTGATTCAGTTATACTATACTTTATCATCATATTGAAGCACAAAAAGTCAATACAGTCTGACTTAAACTCGAATTCATTATATTCTAAATAATAAAGTCACTTCATGCCAATAGATCACAATGTTATTAGTTATATATATATATTTTTTATCATAGTATGCTAATAAAATAAAATTGATGAATTTATTTTAAATTGAATAATCAGTTGAATTGTGTGTTTATAGTTGGGTAAAATTATATATATAATTGTGTGTATACAGATAGGTAGCGTCAGTTGCGTAACAGGCTGTACAATTCAACGTTGTTGTCTCTGAGAGTGCTTTTCCGAAATCATTAAACAACAAACGGCAAAACCATTGTTATATGTCCGACGCAATCCGCCTCCCCAATTCCCAAACCCCACCGCCGGATTCCTGTTCTTCCACTCTCTCCTCTTTTTCTTTCCCACTATTCTCAATTCCTAAGCACAATTTCACATTAAAGAGAACTACCCAGATCATAGATAGATTAACACGCATTTAACAATATAATGCCGGCTTTAATCGGCGTTTCTGGAACCGCAACCCCACCGCTGCGCCGCCGCGACAGATCTCTCTAAGGCGACACCCTCCGCATCTTTCTTTACCGATGGGTTCAAACCCAGTTGCGATCTCCGCCTCTTCCGGCGCCGGCGGGTGGTGGTGCCGGAGAAATAGTTCCGGGAACGGCGGGAAGAGCAACGGTGGCGATCTCTGTGTTGTCTCGTCGGCTTTCACTTTCTTCCTCGTCTCATTTCTGTTGTTGGGCTCTGTAGCGGCCCTCTATGCTCGCCTCATGCTCACGCCTAATGTCCATGCCGGCCTGCCCACCTTGGGGTGTCGCGAAGACAATGAGGGCTCCTGGGCAATTGGGGTTTTCTATGGCGACTCTCCTTTCTCCCTCAAACCAATCGACGACGTGAGCTTCTTCTTCTTCTACTTCTATTTACACTAATTTTAAGGATAAAGTTCTTGTTTTTATAAATTAGTTCATCTTTTGGAATGCTTAAAGATTGGATTTTTTTTTTTTTAAAGTAAGATTATAGGTCTGGGATTTGAGTTTCTTCTGGGGGATTTTGAACTGGGTAAATCTTGGTTTTGGACTGAAGCTGAATGGATGCTAGTTTATCCTCTATTATTTCTTATTTTGATGTTTCAAGGGCTTAGTTTTTATATGTGTTTTTGAGTTCTTGGAATGGATTGCAGATGAATTTGCAGAGGGACAAGAGTGCAGCATGGCCTGTGGCCAATCCAGTTGTAACTTGTGCTTCAGCTTCTCAGGCTGGAATTCCCAGTAATTTTGTAGCTGACCCCTTTCTTTATGTTAAGGTAAAAACTTCATTGTTCTTTTGCTTCGTTTTGGATAAGTATTGCCATCTTTAGGATCAATGTGTGGTTTACGATTTTAATGTGTATGGATGAGAATAGGCTTTAATCCTGTATTGTAGTATTCGTTTGTAGTCATTTGATGTGACATTGTGGGATTTGTCAAAGTTAAAATGAGCTGCTTGACCGCTATTTTGGAAAAAATTGATTTATAATCTACGACTTATTGGTATTGCCATTATTTAAATAAGCAGATGGTTGTTATCCATCTACATCATATCATGTTGGTGAGAGATAATTGCAATAATCTGGAAATAAGATTTGAAGTCTAGTAGTAGCTGGAAATAGAACTTTTTGCTATGATAATTTTATTTTTGAGGATTTGGTAAACATGGATTTGATGTTTCTAGTGAATTAGCGTGGGTTGCTAGAAAGTTCTTTGCTCTATTAAAAGTCATTCTGCATTATCGTTAGAACTTTGAGGTTTGAATGAAAAGAGTATAGGATGAACTCGGGCTTCTGATGAGTAAAAAATGTCTTGGGACTTGAAACTTACTAGGGAATAGCCTAAAGTTTTACTTAAAATAGCATGGATAATGGTTGTCTTTACATTTTGTTGAATGTTCTATTTCGTGAAATGGAATTCAGGAGTCTTAATACCTTATGCTTTTACTCTGGATTTTCCCTTTCCTTATATCTCTCCGAAAATCACCTGCTAGTAACAAAAGAACATCACGAACGCGCATAATTATACTTTTTATGTTCTGTATCTCTTTTTGGTCGTTATTTCAACTTTGAACAGTTAAGAAGGTTACTTTCGTGTGATTTCAGGGAGACAATCTTTACGTGTTCTTTGAAACGAAGAATCCAATCACACGGCAAGGGGATATTGGAGTTGCTAAAAGTATCGATAAAGGAGTAACGTGGGAGCAATTGGGCATTGCGTTGGATGAACCTTGGCATCTCTCGTATCCATATGTCTTTGACTATGATGGGAATGTAAGATCTCGATTCATAAACTCGTGCCTCTTGTTAACATGACGTTCATAGATATTTATGCGGGTTTTGATTTTATCCCATGCAGCATGTAAGAATGAGAAAATTTTAAGAAAAAATCGTGGGGTGGGGAAGGGAAGCAAAGCAAATATTGGATACCAACTACAATGTGAAGAAGTCCACTAGGTAGGATTTACAAGAAAAATCCGTTCTTTCTCATTAGGGTTCTAGCTGCCCAAATTATTATTAGGGTCCATTACCCCCAAAACAAAATGCAAACAACGAGATTTACCAATTGTTATACAAGGGAATGCAAGGTGGACCCTGGTCCAAAATGACATTTTGATTAATTATGTGTCTGTAAATAAATAGAAGTCATATAATATGTTAACTACAGACATATAATATATTAACTGCAACTCTGCAAGCACATAATATGTTGTGTCTGTAGTTAACATATTATGTGCCTTCACAATGCAATGTGGACCCTGGTCTATGGTATAATTTGTCAAGATTTACTATCCATCGTTTGAAAAATAAAATGAAACTCGGTGTTGAGATTATTTGTTGCGTCTTTCAGGAAATAATACGATAATACCGTGCATTTCTACTCATTATCTCTCTCTCTTATTGATCTCATATTTTTAGAAACGTAATTTCTGCAGATATATATGTTGCCTGAGGGCAGTGAAAAGGGGGATCTCCGTCTGTACCGAGCGGTAGATTTTCCGACAAAGTGGGTGCTGGAGAAGGTGATAATGAAAAAGCCCATTATAGACCCGTTTATAATTCCACATGACGGGAAGTACTGGCTGTTTGGTTCTGATCACAGCGGCATTGGGACCCAGAGTAACGGACAATTAGAGATCTGGTATGCTACATCCCCTCTCGGTCCTTGGAGGCCGCACAAGAAGAATCCTATTTACAACACGGATGCGAGCAAAGGAGCTCGAAACGGAGGCCGACCATTTGTCTATAATGGAAATATTTATCGTGTTGGTCAAGACTGCGGGGAGACGTATGGGCGGCGGATACGTACCTTCAGAGTAGAAAATCTCACAACCCGTTATTTCAAAGAGGTTGAAGTTTCCTCGGGCATCAAAGAGTCTATTAAGGGGCAAAATGCGTGGAATGGGGCCCGCAACCATCACTTTGATGCGCAACAACTGAGCTCGGGAGAGTGGATTGCGGTTTTGGACGGAGACCGTGTGCATTCGGGAGATGCAATGCATCGGTTTGTTCTCGGGACGGCTTCTATTCTCGGTGTTGCGGCATTGGTTATGTTGTTGGGGCTTTTACTCGGGGCTGTGAGTTTTACGGTGCCGTTAAGTTGGCGTTCCCACAATCTTGGAAAGAAGAGCGATGCTTTTTCGTCTTGGGAGAAATCGAACTCGTTCTCTTTGAAATTCAGATTGTTTTGCTGCCAGTTGAACCGTCTGAGCTCATTTCTCCGTGCTAATATAAAACCAAACACTTGTGCCGGGGCTTCAATTCTTGTCGTTACGTTTTTAATGGCAGCGGTTTTAACGTGTGCCGGCGTCAATTACATCTATGGAGGTAGTGGTGCTCAAGAACCGTACGCTTTGAACGGTCACTATTCTCAATTCACGTTATTGACAATGACCTACGATGCCCGGATGTGGAACCTGAAAATGTACATCAAGCATTACTCGAGATGTTCTTCGGTGCGTGAAATCGTCGTGGTGTGGAACAAAGGAAAACCCCCGCAGTTGAGCGAATTCGACTCTGCGGTGCCGGTGAGGATACGGGTGGAGGAAAAGAACTCGTTAAACAACCGATTCAAGGTGGATCCGTTGATAAAGACCCGAGCTGTCCTCGAGCTCGACGACGACATTATGATGACGTGCAACGACATTGAACGAGGGTTTTTCATATGGCGTGAGCATCCGGATAGGATCGTCGGGTACTACCCCCGCCTCGCTAACGGGAGCCCGTTGAAGTACCGGGCCGAGAGACACGCTCGCAAGCACAACGGATACAACATGATACTGACGGGGGCGGCGTTCATGGACGCCCAAACGGCTTTCGAGAGGTACTGGAGCAAGGAAGCTGCAGGCGGGAGGGAAGCCGTGGACAAGTTCTTTAACTGCGAGGACGTGCTACTGAACTACCTATACGCAAACGCGAGCTCTTCTTCTTCTTCTTCCAACACGGTCGAATACGTGAAACCTGCGTGGGCGATCGACATGTCGAAGTTCTCCGGTGTTGCAATCAGCGGCAACACGCAAGCACACTACAAAGTGAGGAGCAAATGCCTCCGGAAGTTCTCGGAGATGTACGGGAGCATAGCGGGCCGGAAATCGGAGTTTGGCAGCCGGATGGACGGCTGGGATGTATAGCTTGTAAAACACCTTCTAACATCAGGTAGTAGCCAGTGGTTGTTAGTAGTATTATTATTGTTTTCTTGATATTCTTTGTTTTTGGTGGTATAAGTTTTTATGGTCTTTTAGCCTCTTTGTAGACTCTGCAATTCAATTTGACCTCCTGTTGTGAATTGTGTATTTGTGTGTATGGGAGGAAGAGTTCAGATGTGGTTGTTGTGCTTCACCAAATATGCATTCCTTAGTCTTCTTTTTAAAAATTATTCGAGGATGGAAACTTGCAACCACTATCTGATGGTGAATTTGTGATCTTGTGTTATACCATGTGGAATCGAATAGGAGAAGTAAATTACACTAGAAGATCTTATGTGATGGACTTGATCTAGAAGGTGTTGGTAATAATTAAATTTGTGACTTTCTTGTACGAAAATCAACATTTATCTACTCAGCCACTCATTTTGGCATGAGATTGGGATGTAACACAAGGACTTCTCAGGATCTCAAGGGTATATTTCTCCCTTTATTTTTACCAACACGAAAAATTGATCTCGAAACCTCTTTAGAAAATAGTATTCCAAAAATTGACCTAGGCGCCTCTAGGCCAATGCATATTTTAATGTACGTAGGTGCCCGTTTAGACGGCCGATTGACAAATCGTTAAAGTTTCAATCTTTTTTTCTTTTATGCGCTACCACTACCTTCATCAGAGCTCACACCCTCAGTTGCCCATCATAGTCGTAGGCTGGTAGTTCCTTGCCTCACCCATCACCTTCGTAGAGTCCTTCACCTTATCAAACAATTAGATTTTCTTCGCGCGTCAAAGCTTATTGTTGTTGCTCGCTATCGCCGCTTGGAAGTCATCTCTTCCACTCATTGCCATTGTTGAAGTTGAAGATAGATGGTAATGCTTCATAAATGAAAATATGAAAATTTGGAACTTGAAATTATGATTTTTTTTTTTTTAGTCTATCTTTTGAGAGTTTGAGATTGAACTAAACTTCTAAATTTTGAGCTAGGTTAACCTTTACTACTTTATTGTTTTATCAAACGTAATGAAAACAAAAGTATTGAGGAACCTATGCACACGCCCATCCAACACTAGACAATAACTAGGCGTTAAGCGTCCATCCACTGCCCGATGAGTGCCTAGCACGCACTTTTTACAATCCTAATAAAAAATTGTAAACATAATTGATCTCGAAATTTTTTATTCTTTTTTCTAAAAAGTCTTGCACTTATATCATTATACTATACACACAACGAGCCAACCCATATGGGAGTCTAACTCACAATTTCCCATATGAGAGTCAAACCCGAGTGCCATCTATGCACAAGGTGCTTGACATATCTTCTGATATTTATAATCACATAAACACAAATTTTTCACTTATTGGCTACTAAATATTTCACTTTTGTTTATTCATTCTTCATTGAAGTGTAGAGTAATGAGTTGAACAGGGAGTTGATGTGTTGAGGAATGATATGATGGGACATAGGGCAACATGGTTTTGCAATAATACTTAGTGAAATATTTTTATTTCAATGTAAAAAATGACATCTAAAAATAATATTTTTATTTTTTACATAGGGCAACATAGGGCAACATGGTTTTAGTTGTTGGGTTCACATCTTTAATATCATCCACATATTGTTCATGTATTAAAAAATAAATAAAAATAAAAATGTTGTGATCATGGTGGTATAGAACTATAGATTTAATATAGATTCTAGTGTAGTATATCTTCTTTGTTTTCATTTCTTCAAAATTTCTTTTCTTTAATTCTTCTTTGTTTTCATTTCTTCAAAATTTCTTTTCTTTAATTCGCAACAGTTTTTCTAAGAAACTAATATGAATTTAGTACATATTACGTTGCATTTGCAGAGTTTGACTCTTATTAAAGGAAAATTTAACCTAAAACTCTTTAACATGACATATCATTAACAAAACTCAAACTTATGAGTTTGCAATTGCCACAAGATAATCCAGGAATCGTTTTTCAACATACCCTGAGAGGAGGGGAATAAACATGCCGATCATCTTGCTAACGTTGGTCAGGTTGGGGAATAAGGGACTACCATTTTGGAATCGCCACCCGAGCATTTAGATACACTCCTTGCGCTAACGCCTTTGATGTCATTTCTCATAGACTATGGTAGCATTTTTTCACGACTTTGACAGGACAATTCTCACAAAATAATAATAATAATAATAAATCTAAAATGTGTATTCTTTATTTTTTTTTTTATAAAAATTTAAGTGCACTAACTATTATCATGTTTAGTTCTTAACTTATTTATTTATTTTCTAAATTTAGTTAAAGAGCTTTATATACGATAATGATGTTGGCAATAATTGAACATGTAACATTCAAGTACAATAATCATTATTTATCTACTTGGCTACTCCTTTTGAGATGTTTAGATGTCATTTTTTACATTGATATATAATAACCGCTAAATGATCAGTAATGATTAGAGATGATAATTACCATGATATGTGGTAGTGTGAGAGCAATCTCTCAAAGTGAGGAGGATTTTTTGTGCGCAGTGAACAAATGTCTAGCCTCTGTGGTTCATGTTCAATTTAGTTACCATGATTTCCATTTTTTCAAATGCTCTGTCGGGTCGGAATATCGGGAATCCTTAGAGTTGGGGTTCAACCTTTGAAAGAATGATTAGAGATGATAATTTGAATACGATAACAAATGTGACGAAACTATTTATTAATAACTTAAACTATATAACTAAATATGTATTAACTCCTATTAAATTTTTACACGAAGCTCTTATCCATGACTCCATGTTTTCTTATGCCGGCATGGACCTTGTCGGCAGCTTACGTGTCACAACTAATCACCAGCTATTTTCTGATTTCATACTATTTTTTTAACCAATTGTTCTCATAGGTTTTCACAATTTTTGTTATAAAGAAAATATTTCCACTTGCTTTCAAAAATAAATTTTAACCAATGTTTTGTAGTTGATTTTATCACACCACAAGTTTTCTTAGGCAGAATACATTAGGGCCGAGACTAATTATGTTTATTTATATAAGATAAGATTTTAAAGGGTGACAAAATATTTTATGAGTTTAAGGTAGAATCTTTTGTTAAAGGAATCCGTATCATATCACGCAAGTTATACCATCAGAGTTCATCAATATTTGATGATTTTAATAAAAAAAATACCAAATCAATTTTATTATTGTTATAAACTTTCAATTGAGTAAATACTCAAAATGGTCCCTCGACTATAACTAAATTCACAAATTAGTCCTCGACTTTCAATTTCAACCAATTAAGTCTTTAACTATGTGGTCTAATGGTATCCGGGTTGGACTTCCATTTGGAAGATTATGAGTTCAAGCCTCAGTGGAGGCGTTATTGGTTCTTTGTGTTTCAGTAGGTTGAGAAAGTATATGAACAGATACTACAATGTAATAGAACCAGTAACTTTCAAAAAAAAAAAAAAAAAAAAAAGTCCTTAACTTTGCAATTTTGACACGATTTGATATTCCATCTATTTGACCGTTTGTTGACCGCGATCTTTGAGGATATATATGTAGTTTCACGTGCAAAGCTCAAGAGAACGCTCTTGGAGGTGACATCGTTATTTCGGAGGGGGAAGTGCTTCTCCGTTGCTGCTTGGAGATCACGAGCCGGTTCAGCTTAGAGAACGCTCTTGGAGGTGACAGCGCCGTTTCGGAGGGGGGAAGTGTTTCTCCGCTTGCTACTTGGGGATCCCAAGCCAATTCAGCTTGCCTACATCGCTTGGAGTCACGGCTTTCTCGAAGAGCCACTCCAGGGACTTCGGCGATCTATCTATCAAAAGCTATAATCTCTCCAGCATGGGGTGCAGCGCCGGCATGGATTCAAATGTAACAGTGCGGTCTAGAAATACAACCGGAACTTTAAAAAACCGACGATGGACCATGAAATTACATATATATCCTAAAAAAGCGTAGTCAACAAACGGTCAAATAGACAAAGGACCAAATTGTGTTAAAATTGCAAAGTTAAGGACTTAATTGGTTAAAATTAAAAGTCGATGACCAATTTATAAATTTAGCAATAGTCGAGAGACCATTTTGGGTATTTACTCCTTTCAATTTTACAATATTTATAAAATTGCCACCATTCACTTTCTCCTTGTTTGTTGAGCAACCCTTGGTGTATTTAAATGGACTATATGTTCTTACTTGAACCCATCATATATATATATATATATATGTATGTGTGTGTGTGTGTGTGAGAAAAAGTTCAAATGCGGTGGGTCTTCCCGTGCGACGGTACAACGGAATTTCAGAATACGCCAACAGTGTTAACAATATACACCAACAATGTGTGGAAAACATACCACAATGAAATGCAATAAAACATCAAAAAATACACAACAGACCCAAAAAAATACACCATATAACTCACCACTCCCAATGATGTATTTCCGAACACTGTATGGTGTTTTTACTCACACCTAATGGTGTGTGTTTGGTGATGCGTACCTAATATTTCTCTGTTTTCTGTGGTGTATTTCCTAACGTTGATGGTGTATATTTGTTGAACTATTGGTGATGCCGCGATGCCGCACCGCCGCACCTGAACACGCCTATATATATATATATATATATATATATATATTGACACTCTAAAGTGATGATTGGATTTATTGCAGATTGCAATGATGGAGCTTGAAGCTTTCGCTTGCAGCTGCAACCCACGATATGAAGAAGGCTGCATTGTTAGTTGTTACGTTGATGAAGACGGATTATTATTACTTACAAAAATGTTACATCAACTCAATTTCAAAATAATAGTCAATCCAAGCATATATAATTAATTAATATGAGCTTTTGTCCTTTCTTATTATAGAAATTCAACCAATAAAAGAATGAGAGGATTGTATAATTAAAAGAAGAAGAAGTTAAATTTAGAGTTTATTTAATATTTATTTCTTTTATTTAAAATTAATAAATATATATCATTAAGAAAAAAATATTACTCTTTCTTTACTAGAATCCTTACATAACATTCATTTTTGCATGTTCTTAAAAGCTATTCGAGAATTCAAGAGTAAGAATTGCATGTCTTATATTAATTAGATTCACCAAGAAACGAATTGTTATCTTGATTGACTCACCTCAAGTTATAATGATTCAACGGTGTGCGGGGTTTCATTTTTGGGAGGACGCTTCAAATGTCCATTGTTGATTTTTGATCTTATGAAAGACCCATATTTAATTATGTAGTATCTCTCTATCCACACACACAAACACACAGACACATCACACACACACACATTCTTGTTGTTTTTTTTTTTTTTTTTTTACTTTGATGGACTACTTGTAAATTAGTGATTTAGGTATAAGTTTCAGGCATTGTGTTTATTAAATTGAATTATGTATTTCATCTTAATTATAAATTTATAATATAGATATTTTTGTCTTATATATTATATGATCAACAGACCTCTTGATATGTAGGTTGATTTCTTCTTGATGATCTTGTGAAGTGAATATTAATTATTTATTAAACTTGTATATAAACCCGATACCAAATAGGTGAACAATATATTTATATTTGATATATTATTATATGAATTAATTTTACTTTCGGTCTCACGACTTTTGAGGTTTTATCACTTTTGGTGCATAATTTTAAATTTTTTCAATTTTAATTTTGTTATTTTTATCAATTTTGATATTTCGGCCAAATTGACGGTGAAATATTGCCGAATTTTATATTTTTAGAGATAAAATCGTCATCCCAAGGAAACATCTTCAATATCTAAACAAAATCACTGTAAAATCATATCTATAGGTGTTTAATCGATGAGAATGATGGGAAAGACAAACAGAAACTATACACTGATCTATGTGATTTATAGCGTTGACGATTGACAAACTCTTTTTTTTCTCTTAATATGAATTTTCATTTGTTTAAATATTGAAGATCTTTCTTTGGAATGACAATTTTACCCCTAAAATATAAAATTCGGCAACATTTCACAGGGTCAATTTGTTCAGAAGGATCAAAATTGATAAAAATAACAAAATTAGACATCAAAATTAAAAAAATTTAAAGTTGTGCATCAAAAGTGATAAGATCTCAAAAAACTTGAGACCAAAAGTGAATTTTATTTCAAAAAAGAATTAAGAAAAAAAAAAAAAAGAGAAGAAAAACTCAATATACTAAAGATACTAGGGAGAAATAAAATAGGGAGAATAAGAATATTAATGGAAAGAGAAAGAAAGAGGTTGAGTTTGAAGGAAGAAGCAAAGGAACCAAACAATCACGACGTGTTTAACGTCCGTCGCTTTCTCCGAGAATTCATCCATTCTTATTCTTCATCCCTCGATCGTCGGTCACCGTCCGAATTCCTCCATAGCCGAACCTTCTACACATTCCTTACCATTTTACCCCTCCCCTCCCACGTCTGCCTCCGCTTTCCTCCTCCGTGCTAACTGCTAACTGCCTGCCAGCCAACTCATGGCGGAGGAGTTCGCGAATGCCGTGGAGGATGGCCTCCGGCTGTCCAAGCGGATTTACTTCGGCAAGGACCGCGCCGTGGCGGCGCCGAAGCCGATAACCCCCATGGAGAAGGCGGCCAGCTCCTATCTTCCCTCCGCTCCTATGCTCTACGCCGTCATCGAGAACCCTGCCATCGTTGATAACCCCGATATCCCCAGCTACCAGCCTCACGTGCACGGCAGGTGCGATCCTCCCGCCCTGATTCCCCTCCAGATGAACGCCGTCTCCCTCCAGGTTGACTGCTATCTCGACACCGCTTTCGTAACCCTCACCGGCTCCTGGCGCGTGCATTGCGTCATGGGGAGCCGGAGTTGCGATTGCTGTTTAGCTATTCCGATGGGCGAACAGGTACATAATTATATAACCAAACTTTTTATTTACTTTACCTTCACTTACATTATTATTACGTCTAATTTAATTTAATTTCTATTTTTATTTTTGGTCTGTTAAAACTGGTTTGAGGAATAAAGTTATTATTATTATATTCATTGCTTTCGTCGGAATAAATTGCTGTGATATTAAGGAAATGGAAAAAAATTCAGTTTCGGGATTGACTTGTTGGGATCAAAATAGTATTTGTGTTCCCCTTCTATATATAGAATGTTGAAATATTCTACTTTCATATATTATAGAATGGGTGCACATATGAGGTTAATTTCACCTTTCATGCTAACAAGGGACATGCTTATATAACTTATGGTGTCTGTTCTGTTGAACTCAGACCAGCTCCTTCTTGGTGTGACAAACTTATAGATAGTAATTGAAGATTGTTTCAATAATGCAAAAGTTACATGTCTTTATCTTCTCAGTTATGGTCACCTTGATAATCTGTAATGGAAAATCAAGCACCCTAACGAGGTGATATTTAGGGGGTTGGGTTTTATGTTTTATACAAATAAGGATAGTTTGATGACCTTCTCCCCTGTTGCCTGCTATCTGATAGTTATCACCTCATGATCACTAGCTGTATATAATAATGTTCATGTTTTTCTGTATTAGATAATGGGCACTTTATTATGCTTCCCTTGTTTCACTTTTGTGAAACACCACTAGTTGTTTGTTCTCAAGTGATAAATTATTTGGCTAACAGGGTTCAATTCTAGGTGTTGAGGTTGAAGTACCAAGGGAACTTTATTGTACTGAAATCATTGCCTTTGAGGATCAAAAAGATTCAGGGAAGGTGGCTGCAAAGGTTGATGATGGAAACTATTTGAAGCCCAATATTTTTACCCTCAAAATTCCACAGGTAGGACTTCTGCTACCATAACATACTTATTCCCTAAAGTTTGTCCGTGATAATTATCTTTTTTTTTTTTTTAATAAATACATTAGACTTAATCTTCAGATTGATGGGGGAACAAATCTGTCAGTCACTATTAGATGGTCTCAGAAGTTACTATACCATGATGGGCAATTCACCCTGAACATCCCTTTCAATTTCCCAGAATATGTGACTCCAGCTGGAAAGAAAATTTCAAAAAAGGAAAAGATAAGTCTGAATGCAAACTCGTGTCCTGGAGCAGAAGTTTTGTGTAAGACAGCTAGTCATCCTATAAAGGTGTTGCTTGTGTTAAATTTTAAACATTTCCTGATTCAATAGTTAATTATGATTGTAATCACAGATAAGTTGTGGTTTTTTAGGAACTACGACGCCATAGTGGGAAGCAGACCTTCTTGTATGAAGCAGACGTTCTCAACTGGTCCAGTAATGATTTTGTCTTTGCTTACACTGTAAGGCCATTTCTAATTTCCTATAAAACTACTGTGGTTACTGATATGGTTTCCAATAGGAAAGTCACCTGTTTCCATGTTGACTACTAATTTGATAATTTTAAATTTTGGTATATTATTTCTCATGTTGCATTCTAATGAACTTTCATTCGCATCCTTGGTTACCTTCATGTATTCAGATTTCAACAGGCCAAACCTATGGCGGTGTGCTTTTGCAATCTCCTGGAGCACTTGACATTGACCAAAGAGAGATGTTCTGCTGCTATCTTTTTCCAGTAAATGAGCAGAGCAGAAAGGTCGTTCCTTTATTTCTATGTTTACTTATGAATGCTAAATAATCTATTGGGCATAACTGATCACTCTTTGGCTTTCCCAGTGGCTGTATTGGCTAGTGGATAATGTATTACTCTGTATTAGCCTATTCTGGACTTACTCTCTGTTTGAGGTTGAGGGACAATAAGGAGAAGTTGTTCCTGCACTTATATTTATATTGTTTGTTTGATAGGTATTCAGAAAGGAAGTGGTATTTGTTGTTGATATTAGTGGCAGCATGAGAGGAAAACCTATTGAGGATACAAAAGCCGCACTCTTTTCAGCACTTTTCAAGCTTGACCCTCAAGACTCATTTAATATCATAACATTTAGTGGTGAAACTTACCGATTTTCATCATCTCTTGTGCTGGCAACAAAGGAATCTATTCAAAATGCAATGGAGTGGATAAGCGCAAATTTTATTGCTGGTGGTGACACAAACATTTTGAATCCGCTAAATCAGGTTATATCCTTTTCTCAATTAGTTTCATGAAATTCCACCAGTTTATTTTGCCAATGTATTTATTGATAAACACACTACCTTTCAGTATTCAGATACGTACATATTCATACACATATACAACTGCTGACTCTTTTATGTCTCAACCTTTTTTTTTTGTCCACAACTGTTGGAGTTGATAGTGAAATGTGTTTTAATAATAGTCTACCAACTGTAAATCTGCCTTGTCTTCTCTGGGGTTGAAAATATGTCCTTTATTCATTAATGATTGTGATTTTCATGTTTAACACAATTCTTTTACTTGGTCAGGCCATTGAAATGTTGTCTGACACGAGCAAAACCATTCCGATTATTTTCCTCATCACTGATGGAGCTGTTGAAGATGAAAGACACATCTGTGATGTCATGAAAAGTCATCTAACAAAGGACAGGACTATTTGCCCACGGGTGTATACTTTGGGCGTTGGTATGTAATGTAGAAATAGGAGCAATCCCTCCCAAGTCCTAAGGCTGTTCTATTCTGTGAGAAAAAATTGTGTTTTGTCACTTGGCTGTGAACTTTCTAACTGAAGAGCTCTTATAGTTCCTCTATGGTAATTGACTGATCAAGCTTGAAAACTTTCAGGACGGTTCTGTAACCATTATTTTCTCCACATGCTTGCAATGTTGAGTCGTGGCTTTTATGATGCGGCTCATGATGGAGGTAAGTTTTCTAGGTCTGCAGTATACATTAGAAGAGATTCATTCTTGAAGTGCAATATCTGATGACAGGAATGGGCAGTGGGATTTTAAATGATACCTTGCTGTTAATGTATTAACTGGACTTGGAACATTGGATATAAAATCTGTCCTGAATTGGGTTGTTGGCAACAAGTATACTTCTGATCTCTCTGTTGTTTGTTGTTAAGATAGGTTGCCTGCATTTGTTTCTCATATAAATAAGTTGTGCCAGACTGCCAGTGAACTTGTATTATGATACGGAGTATTTGATTTATCTTAGCTATTCATTTTTGTGCGTGTTCAGAAACACTTGAGGCTCGAGTGGAAGGACTGTTTGCCAAAGCATCATCCATCTTTCTTGCAAATATTGCCATTGACTTTGGAAGTCTTGATCTTGAGGACTTTGAGGTCAGTATACATGCATATTGGTCTATAGTGCTGAAACTTGTGAAGTGGAATGTAGAAATGACAACATTAAACTCTAGGTTACTATGAAGTTTACCAATGTATAATTTTCTGATGAGTCAGTTAAAGGGCATTCCTTTAAGAATGTTTTGTGTTTAGAATTTCAATCAATTGTTTAACCTTAATTATTCTAGAAGATGTATAGGAGGGGAGTATGGTGCTTCTATCAGTTCTATGCAAATGTGCATAATTTATATAATAAAGAATCTTTAAAATTTTCATGACAGGTATATCCATCTCAAATTCCAGATCTTTCATCAGAAAGCCCACTGATTCTCTCAGGCAGATACCGTGGAGTGTTTCCTGATATCCTTACGGCTACAGGTTCCCTTGCAGACATGAGCAATTTATCTGTCGACCTAAAGGTACAAGAGGCAGAGGGCATGCCCCTTGATAAGGTAAGGTCTAGATCCTTTATTTTATTTTTCCTGGCGTCTCATTGGGACATGAACTGGAGAACAATATCATTTCAGGAAAGGCGAGCACCTAGTAGGCTCAAATCCTCCAGAACACTAAATGCATACCTTAATATAGTTAAATTTCCAACAATATTTATGCACCCTAAGAATTCTGTGGCACTCAAGAAATAGGTGTGCCAAAAATAGCCCATGCAATACACCTCACACAAATACACCATAACTGTATAATCCAAAAGGAACAGTATTAAGAGAAACAGGTAGCCAGTTTGCTTCAAATTGGCCATTTACAGAAAGGCATTATGAGAAATTTGAGCATTTGTTAGCAAAATTTGCAGATTCAAGACACTATTTAGCTTGATAGCTTTATATACTCATTGCTCAGATGTATAATGTATTGCTATTGGCATGCCACATTTGTTTCTGAAAAATTATTTCACTCGTAATAAATTGCTTATGTATTGTTTCACAGGTATTAGCACCCCAGCAAATCATGATGCTCACAGCCCAGGCATGGTTTACTGAGGACAAGGAGCTTGAGGAGAAGGTCATTCTAGTTCTCTACCTCATAGCATGACTGCCATCGAGTTACTCTGGCCATTAGATCTCAACTTCAATTGATCTCAGTAGAATTTGGATCATGATTATTAATTACCAGCTTACACATCTTACTGTGACATTTCTCTTATCTGCAGATAGCACAAATGAGTGTACAAAATTCTATTGTTTCTGAGTATACACGCATGGCACTGGTAGTGACTGAGAAAACAAAGGGAACTCCAGAGCCAACTAAGAAAACGAAGGTATATTTATCAATAAATAAAGGACAGGGTCCAATCTATGCTCAAAGCTGTATGTTGATAACTTTTGCCATTTGTCATAAATTGAGATTTCATTTTCACTTCATAAATTTGCATTCCACATAATTTTCTTGGATTGTATTTGAACCATGCCACTTACAACCAAATGCAAACCATAGCAGGGTACAGATAAACAGAAAACGGAAGATCCTAAATCACAAAGGATTAAAATATTCCAGAATCTTGGCCACGGTTTCGGCAACCTCACTGCCACAGCTGCAAACACTCCCGCAGGAGTTATCGGGGCAAAACCCGAAGCATCTGAGGTTTTCGTGAAGGCAGCATCCAACTGTTGCGGGAAGATGTGCCACAAATGCTGCTGCATGTGCTGTATCCAGGCATGTTCCAAGCTGAATGACCAGTGTGCCATTGTGCTGACACAGTGTCTCACTGCATTGGCATGCTTAAGTTGCTGTACCTGCTGTGAGCTCTGCTGTTCCACAGAAGATGGATAAGAAGAGCGCGATGCGGCCCTGCCATGATGTTTGTTGTACATTGTGTTGTTCATACGAGGTGAGTATTGTCAACATTCATTACAATTTGGGATTGTATAGTGTAGTGTAAGAAACACCTATGTCCCAATGTAGGGCTGTGATGAAAATAAGGGCGTGAGAACAATAGTAATTAATCTGTATAAACAGGAATGAAGAAACACAAGATTTGAGTGAGAAATCTTCTCTTCTGTTGTCCTTTTAGTCCCAGTCATTGAAAATACAAAAAAAAAAAAAAAAAAAAATTAATCCAGTGAAAAGTCTTGATTCAACAAAGTCTATATTTCTTTCAGTTTATCTGTCTGTCTCATCTTGATCTTTCTATACTTCTCATACCCCTCAAAACATGAAAACATCAGTGTGAGGTGAAAGCCTGCAAAAACCATGCAAACAAACCATCAATACTTGAGAATTGAAGTAAAGATAGAGAGATTAGATGACATACAGAGAAGATATTGTTGTGGCCAGGATCAGCAAGGTGGAACATGAGGTTCTCAATAGGCCCCTGTTTAGTATAAATGGCCTGGAAACAGAACCCCAGAAATGCCAGCATAGCCAGCCGGCCATTCTTGATCTCCTTGGTTCTCAGCACCATCACCGGCTCCGGCGAGCCTCTCCCCCACATAAACGGGTCAAACCACAGCCCGCCAGGGTACCCAACGTCCCGCTTCGGCTTTTTCTTGTGCGGCACCGTCGGCTCCACGTCGACGCAACCTGGCTTGATTATATCCGCCCATCGCCGCCCCTCCGCCCACCCCATCAACGCCATCTGCACCACGAATAGAGTCGTCGGGTCCGCGAAATACTCTCTGGCGCCGGCGTCGTACCATGAGTAGTTATCGATGAACCCCAGCCCCTCCAGCCACTCCGGGATCAGTATTCCGGCCACCGCTAGCATTGCCCATCTGCCGTGCATCAGCTCCGCTTGCGCAAACCATTTCAGCAGCTCTGGATCAGACCCTGCACCAATTCAATTCAAGTCTCCTTACCTTCATTGACAATCATGACTGGAAATCTTTGATTTTCCAACCACTTTACAAAATTGGAATGCTATTTCCGACCTCAGGTGGTCGGAAATAGCGACAAAAGTTTTCCTAAATACTAAAATTAGTAGTCAGAACAAGAGCTTCCGACTTGATTTAAGATCACTTTCAGGTGATCGGAAATTCCTTGATTTCCAGCCGTGAATCTATGTCACTTACAGAGTCACCTTGGATAAGTGCAAGTAGCTAGCATTGATATATGAGGTCCATATATAGTGTACCAAAGGCAACTACAACTATACTATCATCTGATCTATCTGTATATATATATATATATATATATATATATATATATATATATATATATATATATATATATATATATACCTAATCCCAGTGGGTCGAAACCAAAATCTCCAGGAAGACTGCAATATAATGAAGAAAGCAACCCAGAAAAGTAATGTTAATCAACGCAATTAAAAAATGAAGAAATTTATTCCATGAATATATATATCAGACGACCTGCCATCAAGCCATTCAGGAGGAGAACTACCAGGGAACCAAAGAGGCCTATCAGGAGGAAGAGGTTCACAAACACTTGAAACCTCTTTACCAGCATTCAAACGCCATGTTCTTGATGACAACATTATGCATGTTTTTGCCTGCCCAGAAACCCAATTTTGCTTATGTATCTGTCTGAAAAAAACAACACAAGAAAACATCATATCATAGGACAGCAAGAAATAGATGAGATTGTGTGGTTAGGAATATTGAACCTGAGGGGAATGTTTGGAAGTGCAGTGGAAGCAATGGATAGAGCCATGGAAGATGGGTGAATTGAAGTGAGGTTAATTAGTTAGGGTAGATAAAGAAGGGGGGAGTAGAGTGAAGAGTGTGTGGACATATATGGGAAGTGCAATTATTTGGGTTTGGAGCTTATCCAATATCCACCACAACACAATCTAGGAGTGGATGAATGGGTGATGTGAGTGTAGTGTTGCAGTGTACCCAACTGTCCAGTTACAGCCAAATCTGTAGGCTAATCGAGAGCTTTATAAAAAGTCTTAACACTTATGTTACTAGACATGCACTCCTTAAAACCAAAAGTTGACGTGATATTATTGTAGAAAAATTAGTTGGAACAAGGATCAAATAAGTCATCGAACTACACACTGCAATTAGATCATTGAATTCAAAAAATATGTAATTGGATCGTTAAACTAACCAATTTTATACAATTTGTTCAATTTGTAGATTTTTCAGGTTTTTAACAGGTCACCCTAAATTTAATTTTTTTAAAAAAAAACATCTGTGCTGAAACGAAGAAACTTCTTCGTTTCCGGTAGCCAAGTTTTTTTTTTTTAAATAATTATTTTAAATTTGGGGTGACCAGAAACCTGGAAAATATGTAAATTGGACTAATTGTATGAAATTGGTTAGTTTAGGAACTAATTGCATGTTCTTTTTAGTTTAATGACCGAATTGCATTTTGGTGTGTAGTTTGGTGGCCTATTTGACCCTTATTCCAAATTAGTTAAATTGCATTAAAGAGGTTATTTTAAGGTAATGTTTTGAGTGGGGCTGGGTCTACTCCCGATTTGAGTCAAATCAAATGAGCTCTATTCGTGGAGGAGAATTTCGGGATAACCCGGGTTCGATTCCCACAAGCGACGATTTCTCCTGGGCCAGCTCCCAGCATCTCGAGCGAACCGGGATTAGTTGGGTGGACCTGGACCGTTAAACCGACAGACCCGGACCACATCGTGATTTACACATCTTTAAAAAAAAAAAGTGAATTCAGATTCTTTGTGTGAGGTTTAATTTTATACATTACACATTCAAAACAGATGATGGCTGAATGAAAAATTTATTATCGAAGTGTACCCATTAATAAGTTGAAAAAAAAAACTTTGAAGAGCAGTAATTTTTGTTCCACATTAGAAAAGTATCTTCATTTGCACTTTATGCTAGTATAAAAGAAGTCTAAATTGTGTAATTAAGATACTCTCTCTTACACGTAAGTGATGCAAATCAAATCCAAAATAAACTTCAGAAGTGAATATCGTTTTAGGTACAAGACATTTTTTCTAATGTATTTACTAATATGTGATGTAAAATCAAACCCAGCTTTATCCTGGGGTAGGGGGTAAAACATTAATTAAGGGTGTGTTTGAAAACACGGAATTCATTTTCCAAGTATTTAGTGTTTGGAAGATGGTGGAGAATTAAAGTCAACGAAAAATGGTTTCCAGTTAAAGGAAAAATAGTTTGTTTTTTTATGAAAAATGACTTCTTTTTTTTTTATATCGAAAACCAGTCTGGGCAAAAAATAGATGGGCAAAATATAGTGAAATTCTTTTTGAGTCAACAGATAGTTGTTGCCAAATCTTTTTTAGTTAACAACAATTAAAATTTTAATTATACAATTCTATTTATTTTACAAAAAATAAATTAAACACACAAAAACAATTTTTTAGAATGCAACCAAACACGAGAAATGAAAATATTTTATGAAAAATAATTCATTTTTTCATAAAACATTTTATAGAAGTTATTTTTTATTCTCAAACACACCCTAAGACCCGAATCAATTTATAGAATGAAATTAACATAGAGTTTTTTCCACTTTTGGTCCCTCGACTTCACTTGTGGTGACAAATGGGATTCACGACTTTTATTCCGGACATAATAGGTGCTGAACTTCAATTTTTTTTCCACATTTAGTCCCATCCGGCCAAGAACCCGGCCAACCCACCGGAATTAGTCTCAACCCTTATTATGGTAAGGATATTCTAGTCATTTCTAACCCATGTAAAATGATTAAATATAAGATTTATTTCTTATTGACACCTCAATCTCGTCTCTCTCTGTTCGAATCGAAGGAGCTGCAAAGAAGGAAGAACAAAAACCCTAGGCGTTCGATTTGTCTTTGTTCGAAGAAGGTGTGCCGTGCAAGATGAATGCAAATTCTTCAACATCTAACTCGACCGGTATGTACTATGAATATGGTGAATGGATTCCTGTAATACATTGTCGTTGTGGGTATCAAATGAAGTTGCGAACTTCCTGGACGAATGAAAATCCTGGGAGAAGGTTTTGGCAATGCCCAATAGCTAGATGTAGCTCAATGGAATGGTTCGACCCTCCCATGTGTAAGAGATCGAAGAAAATAATCCCAGGTTTGCTAAGGAAGATAAATAAACATGAAGAAGAGATTCAAAAGTTGCAGCAGGAGAAGGTGAAAGCTGAAGAAAAAAATAAAGTTCAGTTACTCCGTGCTGAGCCAATACAGTGGAAGATTCATGTACTTATAATGTTTGTAGCTATCGTTGTAATCCTACTTATTTGTAACACTGACAGTAGTTTAGTGGATTTGAAGCAGTTAATGTAGTATGTTGGGCATTTAAGATTGATTAATGTTTGCTTTGTTGGAATTCAAGTTGTTTGTGATGAACTGAATTATAAGTGTATTAGTTTGCTGTGCAGTTAAGACTTCATTCAGTTTTTAATTTCTTTGTTAATATGTGGATGAGGTAGATGGAATGGGGACTGATGAGGGATTTGGAGTGAACACACACTTAATGAATAATACTGGCAGATGAAATTAACCAATAACTTACAAATCTGGATTGCAACACACATGACAGATTGTGGACTGTAACACACTTGACAGATAGTGGATTGCAACCAAACTGATGATTTCATTAATATTTTTGGGCAAAATACAAGTTGAATATATCATGATCATAATCAGTTTCACATACTACCAAAATGAAATACCAAAAGAGATTATATTACCAAACATTTGACCAGTTTCAATTGACATATTGTTTCAATTGCTAGCCAAAATCTAAGTTCCCAAAAAACAGTAGTTCCCAAAAAACAGTAGTTCCCATACATATAACAGTAGTTCCCAGCTTAGGTGTTTAGTCAATGGTTAATGGATCATCAGAGTTTCCAAAGAACACAGACTTGAAAGTCTTGGAAGCCCTTGTCCTTCCTGCAATACCTCTCTTCTTAAGATGTTTTTGTTTCTTGGCTTTGTCTTTTCCCTTGCCCTTGTTCTTTGGTGATTGCCCATAACAACCTTCATCTGCAACATGGTGGTCTTTAGCTGGAACAGGTTGGTCTTGATGTGGAACAGGCTGGTCTTCAAATGGTGTTGAGAAATCAAATTGATTATAGAAATCAAGATCTTCTTGAGCCATTATTTCCTGCTCATTCAGTGTAACCGGCTCAACTGGAATGTTAAATAACCCAAAGTTATTTCCCTCCTCATAAACTGGAACATAAACTGGATCTTCAAGTGGAACATCAACTTCAGTTGGATCTTCAAGTGGAACTGGAACTTCAGTTGGATCTTCAAGTGGAACTGGAACAACAGTTGGATCTTCATGACATATAACATCAACTGGATCTTCAAGAACTGTAACAGCAACATCAACTGGTTCTTCATGAACTGGAACATCAACTGGATCTTCATGAACTGGAACATCAACTGATACTGGTACAGAAGTTGGCTTGATCACTCTTTTCCTTGGCTTCATCTAAAACCAAAAAGAAAAATTAAAGAAAAAATTTAAGTTAGTTTATGGAATTCACTTGAGTAATACCTGTTTATGAAATAGAAATACCTATTTATGAATTAACTTTGTCTTTTCTGGACAACTCCTGCAATTATGACCACTCTTCCTACATATGCTACAATGCAACTGAATGTGACTCCTAGCAACGGATAACCCATCCTTGGTGAGCTGATTCTTAGCAACTGATACCCCATCCTTGGTGACCTGATTCTTAGCAACTGATTGACCATTCTTGGTGAGCTCATCAGCTGATCTTTTCCTCAATTTCTGTGGTCTACATGGTCTAGCAGTGTACAGTGGAGGAAGGGGAGGTTTTCTGTCAGTTAATGGCCAATGTGTAGCCCCTGCCATTAGATGTATGGATCCCTCATATATTTTTAGGTAAGTCTCCTTTGAATAACATTTGTCAACATATTCATGAACTACACCTTTCTTTAGCCAAATAGCACAAACAGCATGCTTACATGGGATTCCAGTTAAATCCCATTTTCTGCAAGAACATCTTTTTCTTTGCAAATCAACCTCTTGCTGGTCCCCATACATTCCTTGGATTTCAAACAGATGATAATCACTCTGAGTTGCCCTGTAACTTGCAGCTTGTTTTTCTATCACAGCTAACTTGTCCAAGATCCTAGGGCAGATACTCTGAGTCCATTTTTTTGCAGTCTCTCTCTTCTCATAAAGTTTCTTCATTAACAATTTCCTGATGCTTTCTAGGCAGCCAATAATGGGTTATTGTCTTGCTTCAGATATGACACTGTTAAAACATTCACATATGTTATTGACCAACATATCACTCTGTGATGCACATGAGAAATGTGATCTTGACCATTCTTTAGGATGTTTATCTGCTAACCACTCAAATGCATTCCCATCTAACTCATTCAAACGTCTAAACCCTCTATTGAAATCAGTGACAGTGTATGCTCTTGCACAAGACCATAATGCATCCTTAAGTGATTTACCTTGGAACCCTGCAACCTTCATATTACCATGAAGGTGTCTTACACAGAACCTGTGCTCCACTTTAGGTAAAATAGCCTTGCAAGCTTGAATTAAACCTTTCTGTTTATCTGAAATTAAAGTGAATTCATCCTCATTCCAAGCAGTAATATCCAAGTCTGTTTTCATAAAGTCTAGAAACCATGTCCAGGATTGTATAGTTTCTTTCTCAACTATAGCATAACACAATGGAAAAATGCTATCATTAGAGTCAATCCCTACAGCACTGAGCAACACACCTCCAGTAGTTGTCCTTAAGTGAGTCCCATCAATTCCAATCAGTTTCCTACAATATTTGAAGCCTTTTTTGCATGCATCCCAACACATGTAGAACCTAAGAAATCGTGTATCCCCATTCATTTCTTTCAAGTCACTCAATTGAACAAAACAACGTGACATTGGATTTGTTCTTTTAATTTCCAGCTCATAACTCCAAAGTTTATTAAAGTTCTCTTCTTCATTTCCTTTCAGAATAGTTTTAGCCTTAGCAAGCACTCTATAGGTCTGCCTCTCACTCATATTGAACTTGTCATCATCATGAACTTTTTCTTTAAACTTTAACATCTTCCAATCAGGATTATAATTGATTTCCTTGCTCCACCTCTTGGCTATTTTAGTTGAATTCATCATTCTATTATCGAAAGCCCATGAACATCCATCATGCTTTTGCTCCATCGTTAAAATCCTCCATGACAAAGAGTTTATAACTTTTCTAAGACTTATTCTGAAAGGACACCCCTCTTGTTTACATTCTACAATGAATCTATATTTGTCATTCTTCACAAACTTCATATCTTTTCCATTTTTAATGGCATAGTTATGAACAGCCTCTTTAAACTCTTGCTTAGAGGCAAATGTCATTCCTAGAGTGAATTCAGGATCATTCATATCTGTACTTGCCCTAAAGTTAGTCCATAATCCACCACTTATCTCACAATCACTATCTGATTCCATAATTGAAGCATCATCAGAAAGGTTAGGGTCAAATGTATCACTTTGCAAAGCCTTACTGCCCACCTCGTTTTCTAAGTTATTTATTAAACCACTATCTTCAACTCCATAATCTATATGTTCATCAAACTCTATGTCATCCTTATTTTGAACATTGTCATCATCACCACTTAGTTCATTATACTCACTGCCCTCAGTGTCACTGTCATATTCAACATTTTCACCTTCAAAGACAAATATTTACAATAAAAAATCAAATCAAATTGTAACACAAATTCAGAGCAGTGATATCACAAATGCAAAAAACAAAAATGGTCCCCACAGAATATGCATAAAGTGTATACAGAAATGGTATTCACATTTGCAGATGAAATAAACAAATGAAAAAAGTAAAAATGGTCCCCAAATGGTCGAGCTGGGTCCCAACTAAACCCTAATTTATACAGATATGGGTCCAAGCTAAACCCTAAAATATATACAGTCATGGGTCCCAATGAAACCCTAATATATACTAAAGTGATCAACTTTATCAATATGCTCCCCTAACTGCATAAAAGCATCCTCAACATTCCAAAAAAGCAAATAATTTAACTTTTTGCCAGTGTACTTACCATGTGATGCCCAATCCGATGAAGAACAACTTCGCTGATGAGAAGCCATATGCGGCATCAACGAACGATTTTACAGCTTGTCCGGTGGTGTTTCGCGCTAAATCCGACAGAGACACTATAGTAGTCAATTACGCTGGGGTTTTTGTTCTTCCTTCTTCGCACACCTTCGATTCGAACAGAGAGAGACGAGATTGAGGTGTCAATACGGAATAAATCTTTTATTTAATCATTTTACATTTTACATGGGTTAGAAATGACTAGAATACCCTTACCATAATAAGGGTTGAGACTAATTCCGGTGGGTTGGCCGGATGGGACTAAATGTGAAAAAAAAATTGAAGTTCAGCACCTATTATGTCCGGAATAAAAGTCGTAAATCCCATTTGTCACCACAAGGGAAGTCGAGGGACCAAAAGTGGAAAAAACTCAATTAACATATAACAGTCAAAGGTTTTGCATTGATTGGTCCTTTTAAAAGAAATACATAAAGGTAATAGCACAACCATAAGATATTAAATGAATTTAGACAATTCAACAAATAAATAAAAAGTAAGAGATGAAGTCTCTTTAGGAGAGTCATAAATGAGAAGACAATTAAGACACATATGGTTTACTTGATCCGATCGTTTAATTCTAAAGTCAAAAAGTCATATAAGTAAATTTCAATTTTGCTAATGTGACTATAGGGGTCTTGTTAATTGCAGGCCACGATTTTTAAAAGTATTAATTTAGTACTTTGGCTATGTAATTTCTATCAATTTTAGTATCAAATTACATCAAAAAATTTTAATAATTAAAATAATGGGGGTATTTTAGTCTTTTTGCATCTCTTTTCTTTCTCCCTGCAAATTTGCCGGAGAAGGTCGCCAGTAATGGTGAATTCAATAGAAATTGATTCAACAAAAGTCAAACCCTCCCCTTACTGCTTGGAGTTGGCTGCATCGACATCAACTTCTCGCCGTCGTTGATGCTGCAGCCTTGGGAAAGAATCAAAGCTTCCTTAGTTTGCTACGAGAAGTCGGCGTCGATGCAGCCAACTCCCAGCAGTAGGGCGAGAGTTTGCCTTTTATTGGATCAATTTTTTGTTGAATTCACCATTACTGATGACCTTCTCCTGCGAATTTGCGGGGGAGAAAGAAAATAGATGTAAAAAGACTAAAATACTCTCATTATTTTAACTATTAAAAATTTTCGACGATTTGACCGGAGTGATCAAAATTGATAAAAATTGTATACTCAAGGTGCTAAATTAACACTTTTAAAAGCAGTTGACTGCAATTAACAGAATCTCTGTAGTTCCAGAACCAAAATTAAAATTTAACTTAAAATATATCTGTTAGTTTTATGACTGAATAATTGAATGAACGTCAAACGTAACATAAACTCTCGAAAAATAATTTGTGTGTTGAGAAATCTTTAGCAGAATACAAGAGGACCGTGTGTAAGTTTTATAATAATTTTTCAACCCTCTAGTTTATACAAGTCATATATACCCAAAGTTCGAATCCCGGTGACAACAATGTGGTGATTATATTCTAAGTGGACAAATCTCTTATGTGCACCGGCATTTGGTCGTATATGAGACATTGAGTCACCGTGATTTACATATTTTCAAATGTTCTGTTGAGCTGATCAGTGTGTGAACCCTTGAGGTTGAGGATTCAACTTTTGGGAGAAATTTATACAAGTCATGCAATAAATGCTTATTGCCAATCAAATTGGCCGCATCCCTACACATCAACAGTTTTTACTACACGATGATTACACAAATATGATAAGACTAAACACAATAAGTCAATAACTACACAAATATGATATATAAGGATAAACACATACACGTTCCGTTAAGGTTCACGGATTAGGGTTCTAAGCACGAACATGATTTCTTAACGAGTTAACACGATATACACGTTTAAAAGCTAATAGATTCTGAGTCTACATGACAAAATAACCCGTTAAACATGTTACTATATATATAATCTTCTTTTCTGAAAATACAACTTTAGAGAACTTTGAATAAGTCTTGTGCTAGATGGTCTCACCATAAGATGTGTAATACTTTTTAGTTAAAACATATTACTTTTTTTTTTTTTTTTTTTTTTTGTGGCGAAAGAGAGGCTAAGCCTCGGATTATCTAATTCTATGGAAAAGAGCCTCCCGCGTCGTGAGCCAGGTGCATGTCTAGCCCCTCTATTGGTTCTGTAAAGACCCAGGTGTCCCAAGTATTAGCTTGTGCCCCTCTAATTCTACTTTTTATGATTGTATAGAAAAGTATTACATTTTAACTAAAAATTACTACACGTCTCACACCAACCGATTTTACACAAGATTTACTGATTTTTTTTATTTAAAAAACAATTAAACCAACAAAATAGTAAAAATATTTAATCCATAACATACCATAGTATTCATAAAATGATAAAATTATATTTAAAAATCACAACTAATGCTAATATTAAGGTGTTAAATGTGTTCTTAACCGAATTAAAAAGATTAACTTGTTAAGATATAAATTTTGACAAAGTTCTTAATTAATTAATTAATTAATTCAATAATGACCCAAAACACGTTTATCTTCCGCCAAATCTCCTATGCCCCCAAGCATACCCGTCAGTATATATGCTACATATTGTAACACAAACATTAATTAGTTGTTATTTGAAGCACACACATAATGCTTTTTTATATATGGTCCCCTACCACTTACAACTCGTTTGGTTCGCGGAAAATATTTTGAGGGAAGTGGAATTGAAATTTCCTAGAAAAACAATTACTAGGAATATGAATTTCATTGTTTGGTTGGTAAAAAAGAATTACTGGAAATACTAATTATATTGTTTGGTTAGATTTGGAATTGTATGGAATAACGAGTATAAAGACATATATGTCCTTACAAATTAATAAGAAGTAATATAATTTTTAAAAAAATAAGGGTAAAATAGGTAATCTATATCACTTTTTCTTCCCATCTCCCATGGAAAACAAAATCCTTGGTCCAACAACGATTTTGTTTTCCTCAAATTTAAGGAATTCATTTTCCAATGAAAAAATGTATTCCATGAACCAAACACCAGAAAACAACATTTTCCTCCACTTTAAGGAAATATTTTCATTTGGAAAACATTTTCCATGAACCAAACATCCCCTTAGTGTATGCTGACCGTTGGGACGGAGGATTAGTCTTCTGGCTTTCGGCTTGAGGGATATCTTTGAGGCAAATTATATTGTGGACACGAGTCCAAAACGACGTCGTTTTAAGGGAAAACGCGGCCTTTCAGTTAAAAAAAAAATGATTTTGTCTCGCCGTTAACGGCGTTATTCGTTTGTGGCATTATGAATGTACAATTATAGAATTATGAATGTACAGTTATGGAATTATGAATGTGAGTTATGGAATTATGAACACAGAGCTCTGACATTATGAACTTACAATTATGAACATATAGTGATAAAATTATGAACATAAAGCTCTAAAATTGTGAATATAGAGTTCCGAAAATTATGAATTTACAGTTATTGAATTATGAATGTACAGTTACGGAATTATGAATGTACAGTTACGGAATTATAAATGTACAGTTATAGAATTATGAATACAGAGCTCTGACATTATGAACTTACAATTAAGAACATATAGTATTATGAACATGTATATACTCCTATAACAAAGTGGTCTGAATTTTTTTTTTTTTTTTTAAAAAGGTAGAAGATAACGGTGCCACTAACGACACCGTTACCGTGTCCGCAGCAAAAAAATAATAAATAATGCCCTTTTTAATTTTTATTTAGTTATTTATTTGAATATAATGCATGCTGGACACGGGTCCATAGCATAGGACAACCAAAAAAATAATGCCCTTTTTAATTTTTATTTAGTTATTTATTTGAATAAAAGTGTGAAAAATAAAATAGTGGTTTGCCGTGGGATTAGTTGGGCATGCTCAATGACTAACAACAATAATGATATTTTTGACATTTCACCTACAGAACGACGCATATATGCTACGATTCACGCTACAGCTTTCTGAGCCATGGAATAGTCCTTGTTTGGTAAAATAGTTAGTCTATAAGTCAATTTTAACTTATTTAATCACTATTAATTGTTTAATTTGATTTAAAAATTAATATAAATATTTGGTTAATTAGCTTTTTGTACTCCAAAATGCTAAAATTAAAAAAGCTCTTCAAAACAAATTTTTCAATTAGCTTTTTGAAAAAAAAAAATTATACCAAACAACTATCAGCTAACAGCCAATTTACCAAACACCTTTCTAGAATCAACTAATATTATGAACTAGTTATACATTATAATTAACCCAATCAGCTAACAGCTAACAACCATTTACCAAACAAGGCCTTAATATTTAACCTTTAAAAAAAAAACCAAAATAGCTCATTTTAATTTGAATTTCTTAAATATAATAATATTTATTTTATATTTAACCTATAACTTTCAATTTCAACATATTTGATGGTTTTATCGAGATCGGGTACAGAGATTATAGAGCAGGAATATGAAAATAATAACTTTATTGCCAGGACGTGAGGCCCAATAAGTTATGTACAAATGCCCAAGATTTATGTATATAACATATCTTGTTAAAAGGCTCTAAATGAGATGGCAAATTATGTTGTGGAACCGTGTCTACTTCGCAAGGTAGATACGATTCTAAAATTATTCATAATTATTAATATATAGTTTAAAAATTATGAACATATAGTTCTATAATTATGAACATAGAGTTGTGAACATAATTATGAATATATAATTCTGTAATTATGAATATAGAGACTCAATAATTGTGAATATGAAGTTCAAATATTATGAATATATAGCTTTATAATTATGAACATAGAGTTTTGTAATTGTGAATATAGAGTTCAATAATTATGAATATGAAATTCAAAAATTATGGATATATAGCTTTATAATTATGAACATATAGTTCAGTAATTATGAACATATCAAGTTATTACTTTTAAGTTGAGATCCTTTAAATAAAATTCATATTGATATTTGTTTTTAAATTTTTTTAAAAAATAAATCTA